ACTACAGCGTCTCCAGCGCTTTCGAACGGCAATGTCCGTGGCTGTCTCCTCCTGATTGGTGGAGTTGGCCCAATAGCCGAAGCGCCACTTCTGTGATGTCATAGAAGTGTTCAAATCTGGATCAGTCTGTATCAGATCCGTTGCAGCCCCTTTTTAAGAGATTTGGGTATGGAGGAAAATAGAGAGGGTTGTGTTTTCTGACACTTGGTGAGTTCCCTGGAACACCGGGGACACATTCATGTAGAAAAGACGTACGAAAGTGCATTTTGCATGATAGGTCACCTTTAATTTTTAACGTTATTATTTCTTGTTTGTTAGTTATCAAGTATGTTATGTATATGTAAGGATGCACTAGTACGATCATTGGTACAATTTGCAGATTGATCAACAAAAGAGTAACTGGCGACGTCAGACGAATTAGAAACAAGAAGTCCAGCGGATTGTTTTAGCTCAGCTTCACATCGGTAGTTTTCTCGTGAGCGGTTTTAAACTCTCAGTCTATGAGCTAACGTGTTGTGGGAGTCTGGATGATGATCTCAGTTATTATTATGAATCCGACCCGTGAACACCCTAACCCTAACCCGTGAACACCCTAAACCTAACCCTAACCATAACCCTCTCACTGAGCTGGAACACTTTAATTAACATCAAGACATGAATATCGTCTGGTGTCAGCGTCTCAAATGGGATTTATTTCACTGTACATTAATATCTCTGGGTTCAGTCAGACAAAATATGACGTTTGAAAAAGTCCCCTTGCAGGCTGGGGATTTTTAATGGACAATTTTCAATCAATTTATGGACTTTTTAGGATTTTATTTTACATCAATTGCATTTTCTGCCAGGAATCAACAATTATTTCCATGGTCGGTTAGTGTATAAATACGTTTTTGATTAGTCATTAAGTTGTTTAGTCGTATGATGTGAGAAATATCTTCTAGAAACAAAGACGGCCTTTTCAAATTGCTTGTTTTATTCACCCAAATGTATCTAACCCTAACATTTGAGAAGCTGGAAACAAGAGATTGTAATTTGTTTGGCATGTTTTGTCAAATCGACAACAATTTCTGCAGATTTTAGCTTCCGAAATGTTTGGATCTGATGAATATTTGTGGGTTTTGGACTGGATACAGAAAACACACATTTAAAAAGGCGACCCCTTGCACTCTCAGAAAATTATAAAGGGGATTTTGAGACATTTTGAGACATTTTGAGAAATTTTCCAAACTAAATAATGATTTGACTGATCAGAAATCACTCTGGAAAACGAAACACGAATTTCCTACACTCCATTCTGTCACCCTTAAAATGAGTCGTAGCCGTTCTCTTACACACTGGCACCCTGACAGCCATCCGCACAAACACAGATTCACAAAAGGCAGCACAGACTGAAGAATGCTGACTTTTCTCACCGCCCGCCTGCCTGGCATGCGTGCAGCGATGCCCGTCTGGCATCCGCTGTATCAACAAGCATGGGAAAGTTAATCAACAGATTCTTCCTCCCACCCCTCCCTCTCTGCTTTAACCCACAACGTTGTCACTCCTCCGAACTGAGGAGTGAGAATGTGTTTGAGTTCAGATAAACGCTCTTTATTTGAGGTTAGCTTGTATCTTCTGGTTCTCACTGACCTTGCATCATTAAACAAACATGGAGGAGAACTTTTCTACTTCTAAGAAATGCGTGGAAATGTTATGATGGAGCGCCCTCTGGTGGCGATGGTGGATTACAGCAATAGATATTCATAAAATAAAAGAGAATTTATCAATTAAACAACTCCAAAAGTGTAGTTTTTTTTAAATGTGGTTCCCCCTGAAGTGTTTTGCGTCCAATTCATAACATATTCACTTAGACATATTTCCAAAAAAATGTTATTTCAACTTGGTTTTAAACTGCTTTGGGGTTTTTACAGTTGTCAGTGTAAGATTGTGTTTTTGTTGGCTCTAAATGAATAAATATACCGATAATATGTATTTTTATATCAACAAACATGCTCATCTCTCTCCCTTTCTTGTCGCCCAACAGGCTTGCCATGGCTGTGTGGGATCCAAATGTGACTGCAGTGGAGTAAAAGGAACCAAGGTAGGCAGAACGCCACCCATTTTTTTAAATCATGCCGCCCTAAAGGTGAAGTGTTGGAAGACTTTTTGATTATATCTTTCTGTGTTTCTGTGCAGGGTGAACGGGGTTTCCCGGGTCTCACCGGACAGCCAGGGGTTCCAGGTTTCCCCGGACCTGAGGGGCCAATCGGAGGCAGAGGAGAGAAGGTGGGTTCGGGGTCAATTTGGAAGACGTATTGAAAAGTTTTACAGGAAAAAACGAAGGAAGAGTTGGGAAGTGGAGACGAGAAAAGTGGCTTTGGATTGAGTATTTTTATGAGTTTGGATGAGTGCAGTTTTTATGGCTATACTCTATACAATATATTTTCCTGTTTTAGTCCCTGTTATATTTTTGTTTTATTTCATTCTTAAACGGAGCAACAATCAAAGCATTCAGATTCTTATTCAGGTGGAAAATCTAGGTCTTTGTAAGTAAATGTCGAGTATGCTCTTATAATGAAGGTGGGGTTTCCTTTCAATTGTTCCATGTACATTGCAAATGAGTTTCGGTGTCAATATCAAAACAATAATTAATGAATATTAAGACATTTTTCGACTTTAAGGTTAAAATGTGTCTTAATTTTGTTATTAGATTTGAAAGAAGGTGAAAAACATGGCCATTCAAATGAGGCTGTGTGTTTTATAACGTAATCATTTAAGAATTTAAGTGTTTTATGGTTTAAACACATATTGGAGTAAGTATTTGTTCTAATCTATTTTGATGTCTGTTTTTCCTCTCAGGGTACCGATGGATCTCAGGGGCTTTATGGTCCAAAAGGAATAAGAGTAAGTATTTGTTTGTTTATAGTAAAAAAAAACTTTATCCAACCAGATTTACATTAATATTTTACTCATTCTCTTCACTTTTGATTAATCCCATTGTTTAGTCAAATAGATGAATCTCAGTTGTAGTTTTCCAACACAGTAAAAACAGGAAATACTTCGCAGTGTAATACCCTCATCTGACCAGCAGATATCCCCAATTCACCTGTTTTTATAAAGTGACAACAGGCTAAAAACTCTATTTAATATTTTCTCTATCTTCTTTAACGGCTATGTTTCCTTTGCTCTTTCTAACAGGGGCCATCTGGATTGCCAGGATTCCCAGGAACGCCAGGACTTCCCGTAAGTTTTCCCACATAATCGAAAAAGCAGGGTGGAAAGAGTACTAGAATATTTAAGTGAAAGTACAGTAACTTCAAATATATTTTACTCAAGAACAGGTAATTTTAGTATCACAAGTAAAACGATAGGTTAGTTTTAATGTAGTCTGAGTAAGCGTTACATTTCAAAAAAGGCAACAAAAGGGGTCATGTATATGACAACACACTGCCAATACGTCCAAACAAACAATAAAACACTACTTTTCTATCCATGCACTTTGCAGCCTGTGCACAACTGGTCAAACAAAAAACAGCTTTAATTGACTTAACCATAAAATGAGAAAACATTCAGACAGTAAGTTACAAGTGAGCATTGCAGCGAGTGCAACAAGCATTATTAAGCCACAAATTAAATATATTCAGACTTATTAAACAATCAACAAACATAATTAAAGCAGACAACATTGAAGTGTATAGAAATATGCACTAAATGGCAGCTGTAGCCACACACTTTTTACACAACTTGTAATGCACACACACCCACGATGTTGACTAGCTACAGTGGTGTAAAGTAACTTAGTAGATTTACTCAAATACTGTACTTACAGTAAGTACAATTTAGAGGTACTTGTACTTTATATGAGTATTTCAATGTTATGCTACTTTGTACTTCTACTCAACTACATGTATTTCATACCTTTAGTTACTTTACAGATCTAAACTAAAACTAGCTGCACCTTTACCAGCTTTGATAACACTTTAATGATCAATCATTATAAAACACATCATATATATTATTCTACTTTAGAATATATATATTATTCTAGTATATTTTGATGCTGATACTTTACTACTTTTACTTGAGTAACATTTTGAATGCAGGACTTTTACTGTAACAGAGTATTCCTACACTCTGGTATCTGAGTACCTCTACTTTTACTCAAGTACAACATATGAGTACTTCTACTTTTACTCAAGTACAACATATGAGTACTTCTACTTTTACTCAAGTACAATATATGAGTACTTCTTCCACCTCTGGCTCTGACATTAAAACCGCTGATCCTTTTCTGTTGCCTAGCTACATTAAAGCTACAGTACAGTAGCACAGGTGTGTGTTGTCGGCTACTCACCTGTCATTTGATTTTGGGACTCTCGTTCACCGCGAAGTTCTCCTTATTTAGCTTCAGTTTTAACTTCTTCATTCTCATTCGGATATATAACAAGTCCACAAACAGCAGGAAGTCTTGACACGAAGGTAAAAGTTCCTCAGAGAGTAAACCGCCGAATTATGCTCCATGTTAGCATTTTAGCATGTTAGCTATTGTGTGTGTTTGATCTGCGTCGCTCTACGTGCCCACCGGGTGGTGCATTACATTACATTTAAATATCTATATGGTATTGGTTCCATTTAGGAAAACGTTTAGCATGACTTAAGTTAATAAACAATTAATGCTTTTTCTTAATATCAGTTATTACAAGTAGTTTAACGCGTCTTAAATCCCCTGGAATAATTTAACACCGCTTTTTTTTTAAATCTTTATTGAAAAAACATTGGAAAAATGGCCAACACATAATAGAACAGATGATCAAATATATCGATTAAAAGTGATTTATTAAAATTTTAAAACACATAGATTTGGGTAAAAAAAATCATTATATAAATAACTAGAAAATAAATAAATGTACCATTTATAAAATAATATGTTTGCAATCAATTCAATTTGATATTATTAATTTTCATGACATGGAAATGACATATAATCTTTCATTTGAGTAGTGATTCTGGTTGATTTGAACAAAAACTATTTTAAATCTAAAACCCAGGAAGTATGTGAGATGTGACTTCCTGTTTACTTTGTGTTTCCTCAGGGTCTGCCCGGCCAGGATGGACCTCCAGGACCGAGAGGAATTGCGGGCTGCAACGGGACAAAGGTACCTGATCAATAGTTTAAAATAAAGCATTTCCTAAAACGCTTTTATGTCTGAAACTTAGGATAAATTGGATCATTGTTTATCAGACTTCTACAAACATGAGAAACAAAACTGATGATGCTTCTGATATCTTTTTAATAACGTTTGCATCATAATTTCTTTGTGCTAGCTTTAATTACTATTATGTATGGTTATATTTTCCCCAGAATTATTACATTTTGAGGGATTTTGCCAGGTTTGTTCTATTCTCAAGACGCCAAAGCCTCTTGAATGCCATGAATTAAACCTTTTATGAGCTTCGACTTATCTTTACTAAATTCATGGTCCACTCATTAGCTTTTCTCTATATTTTGACAGATAAATAATTATAATAATGCATCATATTTATAGAGCTTTTCTTGAACCTCAAAGACACTTTACAGAGTAAAAATGCATGAAAAGTTAAAGTTAAAACAACACACTTAAATTATGTAAAACACAACATTAATTACAGATAAAATCAGCTGTGTGTTAAATGTATTGTTCTGCTCTGCAGGGTGACAGGGGGTTCCCAGGAATTGGAGGAATCCTCGGTCAGCAGGGACAGCCGGTGAGTTTGCAGCATTCACGAAAAAATCACATTATTAAAAAAAAACATTGTTCTTCTTTAACATGTTCTGCTTTCCTCTCTTCCAGGGTGTACCTGGTCTGCCAGGAATAAAGGTCAGTGTTCCCTTCAACTTTAAGCACTTCTGATTGGTGTGTAAAATCAGAACTTCTAGGTATAATCAGCCAAAGTAACTGAGACACGGTTTCCGGTAGGATTTTGTCCGGAAATAATTTATTTGACCGGACAAATTCGAAAGTTACCGGACAATAATAAGAATAAGAATTGAGTAGCAGAGTTTCCGTTAGCAGGTAATTACCGGACTATGACCGGATATGCTGATGTTTAAAACTCAGTTAATGGGAGTCATTTTTATATT